CTTATTACCTGATCCAGGTATATTAATGACGTTTCCCTTTAGTAAACATGGAGATGATACCCACTTCACAGGGTTATTGGAGGTGAGCGTGCTTAAAGGGGAAGTGCATATGAAAAGCTTTCTGAAATCCAGATTCCTACAAAAATATAAGACATTTAAGGTTGCTTAGTGTGTAGGCAGAAAAAAAATCTAAGAATGAAAAGAACACTATGTTTCATAGAACCACATAAAACGCTGGGGTCTTGAATTAGGTGTGCCTGAGTCCCTCAGGCTGCTACTCTGCAGTCCTCAGCGGAACAGACCGTGTGTTCTCAGAGCGCATGCCCAGGTCCACCTGAGTCAGGTTAACAGCTTTTCATCAGGAGCATCAGGACTGAAGTTTCTCCAAGTTCCCACCTGTAGTCCAGGTGAAGAGAGAAACGGCAAGAGATGGGCTGACATATGACTAAGTAGGAGGCAAGCGACTAAGTCTGGGGAAATCAGAAAAATGCAGCTGGAACAGATGGGATCACCCTGGTGTGACTAAAGGCAGACGCACTCTTTACCCAGTGCTCAAGCTAAGCTGCAGTGAGACACCTGCCGAAAACCCAAGTGCGGATGCAAGCGGGTTGGCCGTGCTGCAGCAATACAGACAGAAAGTGGGAGGCAGGACATCTGGAAAGATTCTAGTTCCTGCCGTGGAACATTTCTCCTTTTCCCCATAACTTAAAGCAACATCTAATTCACCCCTCCTGCTGAGTTTTGGCTGCAAAAAGGTCTTATAGCTTGGAGAGGAGGGTGGGACAATTTTTTAAAATAATAGTGATTGAAAACATCTCTAAACCAAAGGTAGTCTAGTTCACTCTCTTTACAGGAATGAGTTTGTGAAATAATTATAATTAAGATATCAAGAGATTAAGATATTAGTTGGTACAAAATTGCAACCAACACATAGACCTTGAAGAAAATATCTGTCTTCTTTCCAGCATCAAGTAATATTAGATCTAAATCACCCCACAGACAGATGGTTTTCAATCCAATGTTTAAATGCCTCCCAAGGAAGAAATTCCATACATTCCCCCTATGACTAACCCTTCTCATAATCAGCAGGTTCTTTTCTATGTGACCTAAATCCTTATCACGGACATTGAAGCTCATTTCCTCCTGCCCTGTCCTCCAGGGAGATGGAGAGCAGCTGTCTGTTCCTCTGTGATTATCCTCTATGGGCAGTATTTACAAATAGCCTCCTTTGGGCTAAATAATCGAGATTCTTTTCACCTCTCTCTAAAATTCTTCCGCCGGCTGGTTTCCCCATTGAGCCTGTCCATGTTTCCACATCTTTCTCCAACACAGTTTCTTCCCCAGGAGCCGCCATGCCGAAAGTCTTAGAGATAAGGACCCAGCGGTAAAGCCGACCACCAGAGAGGTGGCAGGGAACCAGATCCGGACAACTCCATGCCAAGCTAAAGAAATAAAACGGATTATCCCTTTAAAAATACCCCCCCCCCTTTCTGAAAGCTTCTTTGGCAGTATCTAGGCCCAGCCACAGAGCTGGGTGGAATAAAACTCTGCCCTGACACAGCCTCCTTCTGAGTGCCCCTGTGCCAAATGCCTTTTTCCTGCACCCACTCTCCCTGTTCTCCAGATCTCTCCTTCTCCATGCAGTTGGAGATTTTAGGAGCAAAACATGAAGACTGAAGACATTTCTGGTGGCCAAGTTTGGTGTTTATGAGCAAGAAGCTTTCCTTAAATTCCTTACATTTGTTAAGCGGACCTACCCTGCTTAACCCTGAACCCCCTGTCCATCTTCTCCAGAAGTAGGCTGATTGTGTTTGTCACGCAAGGGGTATTTTAGAGAAAGTCACTGTTCCAAGAAGTCAGAGGTCACTGTGATAGAGAGCAGAAAATCCATTTCAGAAAACCCAGGGTTTTTTATTGTTTTATTTTTAAGCAGAAGCATCTGCACATTGAACTTCTCAAGGGGACTTTTTCTGTAGTACCACTTTCATTTGACAGCAGAAACATGTTTGTTTTTGTTTTTTGTAATTTCTCAAAAGATACAAGTTTTTAACAACTTGGGTATATTGAGAAATGTCATGTCTTATATGTGGAAATACCCATGGAGGTAAAAGGGGTAGTCTAAAGATGGTATTTTCAGTATTTCCGAGCAGATTCACAGACAGAGATTCTCCTTGGCACAATGTTGGCTCAAGTCAATAGATTATTAGGTTAAGTTGACTTATCTATCCACCTTGATAAAATGTATCCTGCAATCTTGAGTATAAGGGGCTTCTCTGTTTTGTGTGAGTTTCATTTTGGACAGTGTTTTGCATCAACAGCACAAGAGTTTCAAAAACTTAGGGAGTTGAAAGACCTTTGTAATGGGCACTGATTAAAATAAACTGACATGGCAACAAATTATATTTGGCAAATAGACGTTGGAAAGCAAATATCGAGACTTCCTGGGCAGGGAGCAGTCCTGGCACTTTTCCTGAGTGTGAATAATCAAGCACATGTCAAATTCTGGATGGGACAGACCTGTGCACTGTCAGTAGATGAGCCAAGGCCATGTGCCTGAGCGGCCGTTGGGCTGAACAAATGAAGCCCGGTGAGCCGAAAGGGGCGAGGGGGTGGTGGTGACTTACCTCCTGCTTTTCTGATATATCCTTTGTTTAAATGGGGAAAATATACATTGTGCTTCTCACACAGCCACATTGGTCCTTCTAATTAATAACATGAAGAGCCCTGGCCGGTTTGGCTCAGTGGTTAGAGCGTCGGCCTGCAGTCCTGAGAGACCCGGGTTCGGTTCCCGCTAAGGGCATATACCTCGGTTGCAGTTTGTCCCCGGCCCTGGTTGGTCGTGCGGGTGGCAGCCACTCGATGAGTCCCTTTCACGTCGATGTTTCTCTCTCTCTCTCTCTCTCTCTCTTCCTCTCTGTCCCTCCCACTCTACCTGAACAAAAAATGGAAAAATGTCCTCGGGGAGGATAAAAAAATAAAATAAAAATAACATGAGGAGGCAGCTGGGTGTGGATGAACATGTGGATTGTGAAGGGGCTGAATTTTTTAAAATGTATCACTATTTGTTTGGGTCTCTGGAGGTTTTGTTTTTTGTGTGTGGAATGGGTAGACATCAAAATAACTAAGAGATGCTTGCTTTCTAGAAATAAAGCTCCCACTGTGGGGAAAGTAAATCTGGCAGGAAGTCACTGCCATTGAAGCAAACTTCCCCACCTTTAAGTACATGCACGCAGGATGGGGGGAGGGCAGCGCCGGGCAGGGTCTGGAATACAGATTGACAGAACAAGAAGAGTGAAAATGGAGTGTTTCTCTGCTTCTGCAGAACGTTGACCTCCTGTCTCCTCTCCATCCCACTAACCCCAGAAGAAAAGATAATCAGAGGAAATTTAGCAATGGCCAAATATGTGACAAGCATATAAACACCCCGAGGTTGGTGCAGAAGTGTGTGTGTAGCTGTGTGGTTCCTAAGATGGGTGACGGGAAGCTGTGACCAGACCCAGGGGCTTGGGCTGGTTCTGCCTTTCACAGAACTGCTTCTTTGGCAGAGGCTTTTGAGGGGCCCCTGCAAGGGAATGGAAGTAACAGGCTAAGTTCCTGTCCTTGGAGGGCAGAGCCTTTGCTCATGTGTTTTCAGCTGATAGCTGTGTATTTTCCGTGGGACAGGAAAGAGGAGGCTCATTAATAAACAGACGGAGGGAGTTGAGTGGAGACTGTTGACCAGTCCTTTCTGAAGTTTGCACTCTGACTTTCCCGAGAAAACGCAGCTTTTGTCATTGGAGAGCCTTGATCGCTGTTCCCTACCTAGAGCCAGTGGCGAGGGCTGCCCCAGGCCAGTTTTGCTGAAGAAAAGACTGAACTGTAGAGGCTTCTGCAGGGCTAAATGCAAACCATGTGTGTGACCCGGGCTTCCTCCCTCTGCCGAGCTCTGCACATTTGGCACAGGGACGGGTTTAGCTCAGATGCAGTGGGGTATGTAATGAAAAGTGGGATGTTTACTGTGTTAGGAGATACTCACAGTGCACCCCACAGTGAGCCTCGGGATGGGGGAGTGTTCCCTGGCAACCGCAGTCCCCAGGTGTGAACAGCTAACCCCCTTCCCCAAAAGGTTCAGAGAGCAGGCTCCTCCACCTCTGAGTCTGAGGCTGTGTGCTTGGGCACAGGGCGCTCTGCTTTGGCTGGGGCGAAACCCAGGCTGCCCACCCCCGTTTTCAACGCACTGAGAGAAAGGTCCCCAAACTGCCAATGGCCTCTTATTACAGTTTCAACGTCTCACCTCCCAAGCCCTACAGTGAGAGGCAGTGGACAGTGTTTCCGGATTGCAGGTGCTGGTCAGTGGCTCGTGCAGTCCAGGTGGTGGTGGTTTCTTCCAAGGTTGTAGGCACTGAAATCCTGGGGATTCGTCCTCAGCTATCAGAGATTTTAACCACTATAACTGCCTGTCCACAGGAGACTCTAGAAACAACAGAACAGCCCTGGCTGGTTTGGCTCAGCGGTTGGAGCATTGGCCTGCGGACCAGAAAGTCCCAGGTTCAGTTCCCGCTAGGGGCACATACCAAAAAAAAAAAGAAAGACACTCATTTCGCCCTGGCTGGTTTGGCTCAGCGGTTAGAGTGTCGGCCTGCGGTCTAGAGAGACCCAGGTTCGGTTCCCACTAAGGGCATGTACCTAGGTTGCAGTTTGTCCCCGGCCCTGGTTGGGTCATGCGGGTGGCAGCCACTCGATGTGTCCCTTTCACATCGATGTTTCTCTCTCTCTCTTCCTCTCTCTCCCTCCCGCTCTATCTGAACAAAAAAATGAAAAAATGTCCTTGAATGAGGATTTAAAAAAAAAAAGAAGAGAAACAACAGAACAGCCTTATGGTGTAAGGCCTTCTGGTCTGATTGCTTCTGCCCATGATTGAGAAGAACATCAGATAAAATGGCAAAGGGAGAAATGGTCTTTCGGAATGCACACGCATGTAATATGTGTCTCTCTTCCCCTCTTCTCCTTGTCGACTGCAGGGGAGACTGCAGGGAGGCAGCAAGTCCCCACCTCCCCGCCGGCCTCGGAGAACAGCAGCGCGGCCCACAGCATCGGCAGCACGCAGAGCACGCCCTGCTCCAGCAGCAGCACGGCCTAGCCCAGCGGCCACGAGGGCGCGGCCTGACCACACGTGTGCCAGACTCCAGGAAGGCTTGATTGTGGTTCCTTCGAAAAGAGAGAGTGAATTTCAATATAAACATCGCCTGTTGTATTTACATCCTTCCCCCCCACCCCCGCCCCCTGCCCAGGGCTAATCTAAATGTGACCCCTGGACTTCCATGTGAGAAAGCTAAGGTGGTGGCCTTCTCTACCAGCCCCTCACAGGTTTGGGGGTTTTCAATGTGAAACACATGCCAGTTTTTAAAATGCTGCTTTGTCCAGGTAAGAACATCTATCATTTGGGGCCCTGAGTTTTACCCAGACTCAAAGAGCTGGTAAAAGGATGATAGCCAGAGAGTAAGTAGAACCAGTGAGATGTGGCCAAAGATTCCTTTATAACTGAACCAAGATGTCAGACAAAAGAAATGCTTCAAGACTCTAAGTGCATTCCTCCTGTCTAATTTGCACCTTCTGGATGCACACTTCTCACCTGCTGCCACACCCGTGGGGGCCCTGTGCTCGCTTAACAGGTGCTGCCCTCAGGGACTGCGTCCTGACACACATCAAGGCGACATTCCTTTCTTGTGCCCTGGGCCAATCCAGTGCTGAGGGCATTATCAGCATCCTCCCTCTTCCCACACTAGACACCGACTGCAAAAATGTCTTAATGCAAACTTCCTATTTCTTTATAGGCATACAGAAATAGAAAATGGCCAAAATCTGGGACTGCAGATGTGTGCCCATTTATTACATTGTGTTCTGATAAATTAATGTATAAATCAGGGCAAAATTTACTTGTAAAATTAAGGAGGAATTTGCTCAGTGATATATATGCCAGTAAAAGTATATAATATGTCATCTGGCATGTTCGTTTTCTCAGCTGAAGAAAAAAATGTCCTATGCATTTAGGGTTGAAACTTATTCTTAAATATATTTGGGGGGAATTAGTGTTTCTACTCTAAACATGTCAACCTTTTTAATAGACCCTTTTGTGAAATCCAAGCTCTTGTAAGATACAGTGCAGGGCAGGTCCTGTTATTTAAACTGTGTCACCAGTTTTGCCAAGAAAGTGCTCAGATAGGGAAAAGGGCACTCATTTGGATTGCTGTCGTTCTCCTGCCTTAAATATATCTCAAACTCAAAAAGGATTTAATAATGGAAGAAAATGGAATAATATCATGCCACTTTGCAGCTAAAATAAGCTCAACTGATACCTCTATGTTAAAAAAGAATGCCAGGGGGAAATGTCCATGCCAAGTCGTTTACTACTGAGGACAGCGTCATTGCAAATAAATAACATTCTTTTTCCAGATCCGTGCCCACCCATCAACCCACCCACCCAACGACTCAAAATTCTACAGATAGAACAGGCTAGATTCTAATACGTATTCTAATAAGCAAATCTCACTGCCCTTAAAGTAAGGAAGTTGTGCCGGGTTCTCTGTGAGTGGAACCTTCAGTAGGAAATGCTGATGACACCCAAGACTTAGCTAAGGGCAGTGTCTGCAAGGCAAACAAAGTTACCCAATTATAGAGTAATATTCGGATTGATTTGATAGGCATAGATGTTCAATCAGGATAATTTTAATTAAAACAGAGGACTTGAAGATTTGCAGGTTGTCTACATTGGTAATTTTGCATATTTCCATGTACAAATGAAGATATGAGATTGGAGAATTCTTTTTCCTTCAGTTAATTTTTTTTTTAACATAAGGGTATCAGAGTGGAGGACCTAGATTACGCTACCTGTGTTTGAAAATAATGCGCTTTGCCTAACCTTCAGCAGAATGTATTGTTTAAGCATATTCTATGTATAAAAAGGTTTAAAGATGTCTTCAAAGAAGACTAGAGTCTTTAAGTCACTTATAGCTATATTTTACTACAAAAATTTGTGTATAAAGATATATTTAAGTGTTTTAGATTTAAAAAGTTACTCCATATGAAATGTTTAATTTCAGTTACTGTGAATTCTTTTGATCAGTTCTTTGCTTTTTAAAAAGCCCTTTTCATCCTATCAAAAAGAAAAGTAGCTATTTAGAAGTATTAAAAGATCCAATTCTTAGATGGACAGGGTTAAAACTTTTTGTAATATATTTAAATGTATATTTTTGAGAGAGATGCTACATTGCCAATGATTTATAATTTAAAATTAATTTACAAATTTATAGATGCAAATCAAAAGATTTTAAAAGAAAGAGAAGAAAAAAGTCAACTTTTATTTGTTTGGGTCTGATTGTCAAAAGTATTATTCAGATCAAGAAATCCATGTTGCTAAAACTTGATTCCATGTTAATCGGAGAGTGAATGTCATTAAATATTTCTGAAATGTTTCTTTAAAAACGAGCATAAAAAAAAAACTATTTTCTCCCTAGTTTCTTGTTACAGCATTTCCAGTTGCTTCAGACTTCACAGTTTTAATACAAAATACAAGCTCAACTTTATAACACATTTTGCAAGTTTCTATAAACTGTTGTTATATTCCAGTTAAACTCTTCTATCTGCTGTCTTTTGTTACTTCTGCAGGCGACACCCTGGATTTGCAGAGGCCATTTTGGTTTGTTTCGTTTGATGCTAACGCTGTTGTTGAGATGCTCTGAACTCTAAGGCAGATTGTTGTGTGACATCCTACAGCTTTTCACCATGTGGTGTTTACCAGCTGTTGCTCTGTATTCTGAAAGCCAGAAATTCCTTCTGTCTAAGCTGTTTCTGTAGCATTTTCTGAACCACCACAACAACAAAAATGGTCTTTTCCTTGTCTGTAATAAGATTATAAACCCATTTCCTGTGTGTTTTCTGTTGTGGGCATGATTGTGAGCCTGTGTGGGGCACACTCACATGCCTGTCTTTGTGTACTGTAACTACCTCATGGTTTGAGTGATGGTTGTACTGCTGGGTGTGTTAACAGAGCACATTATGTTGAGGAAATTGTGTGTGTGATTTTTTTTCTGTTTGTTTTAGCTGGGGGTTGTTCATGAAACTGACAGATGTATTTCTAAAAAGGACTATTACCAGTTTCCAAATACAATACTTCTCTCCTCTGGTTTTTCCTGAATGAGCCTGATTTTTGTTGCTGTTTTTCATCACCTATGAGGGTAAAAAGAGTACCCTTAAAATCCCTGTGGCCAGTTTGAACACCCCTGTTGTATGTAGTCTTTTCTCTGTTAAGTGTGTCAGCAATTTTGTGAACATGCTTAGATGTATAGTTTTGATAACCACCGTTTTAAGTACTTTATTTGTGCATAATAAAAAGATATATATCAATTATTAATACATGTCTTGTTTGGTCATCATTAAATTCTACCCTCAGGCTGCTATAACCCTTTTTCATTGTGACTTTCTCCCAAATGTATCTTCTGATGCAACTGTGTTAATGAGGAGGAGGGAGGGGAAAGGCTGGGGGGGGGGGTGAAGGCTAGGAGGAGGGGGAGGAAAGGCTGGGGGGGGGGAAGGCTAGGAGGAGGGGGGGGAAGGCTAGGAGGAGGGGGGGGAAGGCTCACTAGAGCAGAGGGAAGGGGTGGACGGCCCGAGGAAGGCTGCCACGGGAACGGTCACTCTTGTCAGAAAATCGTGGCAGGAGACCGAGAAGCTGAGTCCGCTTTGGAATCCTTTCCTGGGCTTTCTGTCCATCTCCTGGAGGCGAGGAAAGAGAAATGACATGTACTCTGTGTCCCCTTCAAATACTCCAGTGCTGCCTGTGGCATGTTCTCAGCAAGGTGCTGCCACCTTCCAGCCGCCCAAGCCAGAAACCTGCGAGCCCGCCCCCCCCCCCCCATTAATAAATCCAAGTTTATTCCACCTTCGGAATATCTCTGTCCCCAAACCACTCAGTTACTTCTACTCCTCTTGCAGTCACCCGACTCCGAGGCCCGTTGCCTCTCGGGGAATCACTGCAGTAGCCTCAGCAGTGCCCTGCCGTCCCGGCCTGCTCCCCTCCAGTTCTCCACCGTGTCGCCAGAGGAACCCTAGAGAGACTCAGATCACGTCGCTTCTCAATTTAAAGCCTTTCAGTAATTCCTCCATTCGCCTTCCAGATAAAGTTCAACCCCTTCAACGTCATCTGAAGAGAATAATCTGCCTACCTCCCAGCCACTTCTCACCTCCTTAGAGCTCACCAGATATATTTGGTATGAATATAAAGGTTTTACTATCAAAGATTAAATTGTAATATTGAATATGTGTTTACAAGTTTCACTCTTATTTTCCTATCTTCTCCCCTTTTAAGAATTAGTAATGTAGAAATAGAAATCCAAAAGGGTCTACAAGGCCAGCGACCACCCCCACCTCCCACAGGTAGATGCTCACCTACCCAGTGAGGAGCTTCCGCAGCATCTCACAGCTGTGAGGTTGGAGTCCTTGTTACAGAGGAGAGTCCAGCCATTTTCCAGCATCAAGACTACACCTTGGAGCTAGCTTCTCACTGAGAATAGAGGCAGAAATTGGCAGTTCCACTAATTTTTCTTTTATCCTCACCCAAGGACATTCTTGCATTTATCTTCAGCTAGAGAGGGATGAAGAGAGAGAGAGAAACATCAATGTGAGAGAGACACATCGACTGGTTGCCACCCACACAACCCCAACCAGGGCCGGGGATAAACTGCAACCGAGGCACATGCCTTTAGCAGGAACCAAACCCGAGACGCTGGTCCACGGGCCGACACTCTTAATTGAGCCAAACTGGCCAGGGCCCACTAATTTTTAAAAAAATCCTCACTCAAAGATATGTTTTTATTGATTTTCTAGAGGGAGAGGAAGGGCAAGAGAGAGAGAGACATCTGTGTAAGAGGGAAACTTCAATCAGTTGCCTCCTGTATGCAACCCAATTGGGGATCAAACCCACAACCTAGGCATGCGCCCTGACTGGGAATTGAACCTGTCACCTTTCTGGTGTACGAGACAATGCTCCAACCAAGTGAACCAACTAGCTAGGGCAGCGGTTCCACTAATTTTTCTTCCATTACATTCTCTTTGTATCTACTGGAGCAGAAACCTAGGCGACCCATAAGGCAATCCATAAAGACTTCAAAGAGTCTATTAACTACATGAAATTATATGTAAAATTTTGCATTGATATATCTGGGGTTTTTTTGTTGTTGTTTTGAATTTCTTTGGTGAAAGAGTCCGTAGC